TAGTTGGAAATTAGAATAATAATGACTTGTTAATTAGTGATAAAAAAGAGAGGCACAGATTTTGGGCTGAATAATGATGATGATGATAATGGAAATGTATATTTCAATTCTTGACCAATGAACAATTTTTTTCTCTCGTGTTAATCAGACGAGACAATTAAAGTTGGAAATTAGAATCCAAGGGAAAGCTAAAAGAAACCATTGATAGATGGAACAAGCATAGGTTTACTTTTTGTGTATCTTTTTCCAAACATGGAAATTTATGGAATTCCTCACTTCCAGAATGTGAGGCTGAGGAAGAGGGAGGAGTTGAATTTCCCTGCACGCCTACTTTATCTTTGTTTGGTAAGCTGCTTCTCTCAAATCGATAGGAAATCCCACTGTACGTACACATGCAAGTTTCTCAGTGTTTTGAAATGGCACTAGTCCCTCTTTCATGATTAACTGAATATTCCATGATTAAATTGATCAAAAGCTTAATTTACATCAACTGAATTGATAGTGATTAAATAATGTACCTTTTTTTAATTTACTATTTAAAATATATATTCATTAATGTAGATAGATAGAGAGATCGATGTTGACAATGATTGATCTCTTGCTTTTGAGTTTGGTGCGTGGAGATGGATGTGTGTGTGTGTGTGTGTGTGTGTGTGTGTGTGTGTGTGTGTGTGTGTGTGTGTGTGTGTGTGTGTGTTGAGAAGAACTAAACAATTGTGGAGAGAGATCGCCAAATTGGCAAAGCCACGTATTTTTTCTCAGTGAGACTGCTTGGCTTACACACGAAGGGGGCGGTTTCTTCAAGTGCTAATATATATGGAAATATATGTAGCCAAGTGATTCATGAAATGAACCCTATAGTCCTATTTTTACTATGTAGCATTGAAAATGAGAATAAGAATTGACATTGAAATTTAATTTTTTTTAAAAAAAGAATATGTGTTTAGTATGAATTATTACTTATTACTTGAAATTAGACAAATCTATATATGCAGGATTAGGGGGAGGTGGTAATCTCCAATCCTACTTACACAAGATTGCTTAATTTCATAGAACAAGAAATTACTCATATTAAACACTTTTTAATATATTTTTCCATCCATCATCACAACCTTTACTCCTCATTTTTAATGTTTCGTATAAGATGGAACTTAAATGTATATATATAGCTCCCAAAAGAATGATTGCTTTTGTGCATGCGCAAGGCTAGCTTATAACACCACACACACACAAACATATATAGAATCATAACTTCGATACAGTTGTGAAAGTGATGATCAATTTCAGCAGGTTGTGCATATGTGCGTGTGCGCGCATGTTTGTTCTCGAGAACTGAGGAAAAATGATAACAGACAACCTTGTTCCACACACTCTGATGAGTCCGATGATGGAATTAGGGTTTTCTTCAGAGTTTAATATGATCATGGTACCTGCGATGAATCAGAAACGCATCCGCATACAACCTCTAAAGCATCCTGTTCCTATCTATCTTTCCACTTTGCCCTCTCTCTCCCTCCCTTGCTTCTATTTTCAAGTTCGTTCTCTCGTTTCCCTCGGGAAACATATAAAGTCTGTATCAACCTCTCTTTTTTCATTTGATTCATATGAACTTTAAAATTACACTATGCTCTCTCCCATCCTGAATATATAAGCTAGTTAAATGGTTTATTTTTAATTTAAATTTAAGATTCTAATTCACTTTGTCTCTTTCAACTTCCAAGTTTATAAACAAACAGTCAATATTAAATTGCACATGTTTAGAAAGTTTCTATTAAGGAGTAATTCCAACGCAAATAATTAAAGAGGGTATTTTAAAATCAACATACATTTTTTCACAAATAAATAACTTAAAACTACACGAATTTCTTTTTGGACTCACAAGAAATGTCAAATGGAGGATCAATCAAATTATTGGTTAAAAATCCATCAAATTAATTAGTAATAAATGACATTAACATTTGCTACTTTCTTGTAATAATGTTGGATATTAAATTTGGTTACAGAGGTACAGATTTTCAACTTTGCAGTTTGATTGGCAGTAATCTTTGGATATGGAAAAATTAAATGACATCAGCTTAATTAATTTTCTTCATTTTAAAGATAAGTGGCTTCAATAACACGGAACCATCTTAACTACATGTTGCTATCTTATTAATTGAACACAATGATGATATCTCATCAATGATTAACAATATTCCAGGATATTGATATTTTCAATTGTCGAACGTTGATGTTTCATGAAATTAATAATGGCTTTCAAAGGTTCGAACGCAACATGACGCATCTGGGTAATGTCAAACATTAATTGTGACTTTTGATCTTTCTTTTTATACGAATAAATTACCGTAAATTCTTCAGCCAATGAAAAGGGATGAATCCAAAGGCAACTGGGTTTCATACTGATTGATGATATATCCACATAAAGTTGTTTTCTGATAGTGATTACAATGGATTATATATAGAGATTTGTCAGTTGATGTAGAAAATTTACATCTCTAATTTTAGGAAACATTGATGTTGAAACCCTAATCGACTAATCAAAAGTTTCGCAAAGAGCATTAAATATTTAAAACAATAATGTCTTCTTGTTATTGAACACTTACATTATGAGTGTTCTTGATCACAACGTAACCATTACGAATCCCATATATTACATAAAAAAATTTTCAAAAATTGATGTTGAAACCCTAATCGACTAAGCAAAAGTTTCACAAAGAGCATTAAATATTTAAAACAATAATGTTTTCTTGTTATTGAACACTTACATTATGAGTGTTCTTGATCAAAACGTAACTATTACGAATCCCATATATTACATAAATTTTTTTTTAAAAAAAGAGTCATATTGTTATCAGCAATTAATATTATCTTCTGTCCTAAATATAAGGACTAATCTGTAATGTAATTTATACTACAAACTAATTTTTATATTTTTTGGAAGCAGCAACATAACTTATCAAAATTTTTCTGAGTGCTATATGCATGCAGATACATTGATATGTATATAAATTATGAGGAAATTGACCAGCAATTATTTAATTTTCTTACCCAAAAAGTTTCATATATAATAGCCCGCCCAGGGGACCAAAAAAAGAAAAACACGATTTTATCCGCTATTAAATTCATTCACCAATCACAATGAAAATCAAATCTTTCGCAAAACTTTACCAACATATTATATCATTCACATACTACACTACAAACAACCCCCCCCCCCACACACACACACACTATATAGGCTTATGCATTATGTGAAGTTTGATGAAAGAGTCATAGTATACATAATTTGTTTGGTAAAAAAAAAAATTATACAGAATTTGTGAAGAGTATGACTTGCTATATTATATTTATACAAAAGTTTTGGTTACTGCAACAAATAGTTCAGCAACAAGTTTTAAAATTTCCCTCAAATAACTGATTTTTGCGGAATTAATACCATCTTTGTAAATTATATGGAAAAATTACGTGAGCTTGCATGTGTATCACTCACCATGACTGCATTCTTGTCTCACAGAAATTTAGTTGGGATCTTACAGAAAAATTTTCATGCATTTATAGAGATACTTCCTTGTTCCCTAAATTAAAATAACTTGAAGCTACAGTACTATTTGGCCAATGTAAAAATTAAAGGGGGGGGGAAAAAAGGATTAAGTAATTAAGTACCAATTTTCCTTAAAGATGGTTTTGTAAACCATCATAATCATCCTAATACATTACCTCAATTAGAACGCCGAAACAGGGAGACCGGCCTGATAATTAACAATTTTTAGACGGAACCTACGATATTCATATATGGATTAACAAGGAGTTAGATGAATTAAACGTTGAAGGCATGCCGTTCATCTGTTAACATTTCCCCAAGAATCCCCATGTTAAACTACCTACCATTCATATATATATATATATATATATATATATATATTTATATATATAAAGTTTGATTTGTCAAAGAGAATATTTGCCCCTCAAATAGTGAAATTACTCACACACACACACACACACACACCCCGTGTAGAGTGACGAAGGGTTATTTTAATTAATATTATCATACTATACAAAAAGCATTATGCATGAGAGTGATTTTTCCCTTAAAGGTATGTATAAAGAATTACCACTTCCGATCCTTAATATAAGAGTTATTTTGACTTTTAATTTAATCATAAATATAAGATCCTAATCTATTTTGTCTCTTATATTTAACTATTTTTTTTAAAGTAGTCTTTGTAGTAATTACATACATATGTTAAAAATTCTATCAAATCGTAGTTCTAGCTAATACACATGATTAGTAAGAGTATTTTAGGAAAGACAATACTTATTTATTACAAAAAAACTAACTTAACAAATTTTCTTAATTAACTCAAATTAGTCAACTAGCTCTTATATTAAGGATTGGAGGTAATTTTTTATTTTTAATTTCGATACAAGTGATCCTTAATTTTGGTTATTTAAGAATATAAAATATATATCAAAGAAGGAAAAAGCCCTAGGATTTGAGTGGTCCATTTTTTTAAACCCTCATAAAAATGAATACGCATGAGTGGACGCCGTTTAATTTATACACAAACTTGCTTATCTTTCTCCAGCTCCTCCCATTGTTTCTCACCCTAGCTAGCTACACTACTTTTTCTTTTACCTTCCTGGAGTTTAACCGATTCTTAACTTATTATTCATTTTTTTGCCTTTTTTGTTGGTGCAGAAGCGCATTCATGAACCCTTTTTCTTTTTATTCATTCATCTTATATCCCTTTTGCGCTAAAAAGCCCTCCCCCATATCAGACACACTTTGCTGTGCTTTGCAAACACATAGAAAACAATTAAGCTCCTTCATCAATATCCTATCCTATCTCTATCTATATATATATTGTTCTACATCTATATACATCGATCTGGTGTTTGAAAATTTTTCAGTTCAGAAACTACCTACAATGAACACTAACCACAATAATAATCATCACCCCCTCTTCACCACAAGTGTTAAAAATTGTCATCTTGAGAATATGGGTTCTCTTCAGCCCCCGATCTCTTCCACTTCTTCTTCATCTTCAGGTTTTTTCATCAGTGATATGTTTGGGGTCAACTTGGAACGAGAAGGAGAAGAAGGGGAGGAGGAAGAAGAAGAAGAAGAGCTTGGAGCTATGAAGGAGATGATGTACAAGAATGCCGCTCTGCAACCCGTCGACATCGACCCTTCCACCATCCGGAAACCCAAACGGAGGAATGTCCGGATCAGCGACGACCCACAGAGCGTTGCCGCCCGCCACCGCCGTGAGAGAATCAGCGAGAAGATCCGCATCCTCCAGAGACTCGTCCCCGGCGGAACCAAGCTCGACACCGCCACCATGCTCGACGAAGCCATTCGCTACGTCAAGTTCTTGAAGAGACAAATCAGGCTGCTCCAACCTCCACCACCACCCCAGCAACAACACGGCAACAATATGAGCACGATCTCCACCGGCAATTCCACACTCGCCAATTGGCCTTTTACAGCAACCACACTCCCCGCCGCCACCGGCGTAGGGTTCAACGGTGGGGACAGCTCCTCGGGGTTTAACCATGAGGTAATAAGTGAATAATTAGCTAGCTGGCTAGTATGATGTCGATTACAGTATAAATATATGTAAGCAAAGTAAAAAATCAAACAAGTAATAATTATTAATTAATATTGTTTGAAGGGGCGGGGGGAGATGAAAAAGGTTGTTAGGATATTCTTGACTGAAGAGGGATACGTATTATACAGCCATATATATATAATAGAGGGAGTGATGTGTGTTGAGTTTTAATTTGTAAGTTGGCCGGAAAGTTTGTTTGGCCTACCTTTTTCCCTTGAGAAATAAAATAAGCAGTGACGTGTGATCACGAGGCATTCAATTAAATAATCATTATATATATATGTATACATATATATGCGTGCCAATATGAAAGCTTGATCTGTGAAGGTGTATAATTGCTTCAATACACGCTTGCTGCTGCAGCAGGCGTGTGTGGGTGGCTGATACATTGTACTCTGCTCAGACGACAAGATGACAGTACTATGTATGTTTGTGAAGACTGATGTTGAAACTTAGGATTATGGTTTGTGTGTCTTCGAATCTTCATATTGTTGAGAGAGAGAGAGAGAGAGAGAGAGTTTCATATATGGTGTTTGGAAGCTAAGAAATCCCTAAAGGGATGAGAAAAATTAAAGTGATGAAGTTATTAGGCCAAACGCGACTTTAAAGCTGAGATCTTTATCGGCTTTTCCATTTAGAACTGATTGATACATTCTGCATATATACATATATATATATATAGAGAGAGAGAGAGAGAGAGTTCTGGGTCTGGTTATGCAGGGATCTGTTTCTGGGTTTGGTAAATTATTTGCATCTCTCGACACACACTCACATGTCTGTTTCGTGTTATGCTTTATGGCTTAATAGTGGGAATGGGAACGATCATGACACTAACGCTACGATTGGTACGGAATACTAAAAATGAGAGATAAAGATTGGGATTAGATCGAAAACATATGTTAAAATGATACTTAGTATGAGTGATTTTTTATCACATGGGATTAAGCAATCCTATATACTACCTCCGGTCCTAATTATAAGAGCCAGTTAACTAATTTGAGGAGATTAAGGAAGTAAGTTGAGTTAGTTATTTATCCTAAATAGGTGTTATTTTTCCTAAAATATCATTACTAATCAAGTCTATTGATTAGAACTATCATTATTAGAAGGGTTATTTAAGAAAAAAATGTATAAATATGAAAGCAAAATAGATAGGGGTCTTATATTTAGGACCAAAATAAAAGTCAAATAAGGTCTTATATTAAGGAACCGGAAGTAGTAGATAGGATTGAAGAATACCACCTCCTCTCATAGTATTCCCCAATCTCACATATATGGGTTTTTCTAATACCAAATATCATATAATTATTCATACTAAATACTTTTTTAATATAGTTTTACACTTTCAATCTCAATACTATCTCTCATTTTTAATGTTTCGTATCAAACGGGACGTAAATGTAACTAGGAAAAAAAAATTATATATGGTATACCAAAAACTTGGATTCATCCAATGCCTAGAGTAGCATGCGAACTGATCGATGATAGAGGAGCATATACATAATTGTAAGGAATAAGGTCTCACTTATTATAATTAATGAGCGTGTTTTAGGCTTAAGCTTTAGATGTTTCTTGTTTCTTCTCGTATAAAATCTACATCTATATGATCAGTACAATAATATATATATATATATATATATATAAACAATAATAGTTACACAAGCATTTGTATATAGGGGTGAAAACAAACTAGGTCAAGCCAGGCTTCACCCTTAACAAGCCTGGCCTGTGGTGAGGCCTGTTGGCCTGAGTCTGGCCTGCAGCTTGTGAAAGGCTTTTTGTTCAGCCTGAGCCTGGCCTGACTTGTGGCCTGTTTTTTTTAAACAAATTTCAAACACATATAAATCAATTTAAAATTATAATGATTCAACCCAACTTATCTAAAATACAAACAGAAAATATGAAATTATCAAATTAACACAATTTGTAAAACATATCCCTTTAGACCCAAAAAAAAAAATCAAATATGAAAAATTATTAGAAAACATAATTTCACTCTGGTATAAAAATATCACTTTATCCCATCTCTAGTATAAAAATTAGTTGATGATTAGATCTAGTTTAAAATATTAAACATCCTTAATCCCTTTTATATTTTAAATTTATCATTTGTTCAAACTAATTTACATTTATTATAATTTATTTATTTATTTAAATTAATTAAGCAACTATTATAATAAGAATTAGATTGAGCACACATATATACAGTCTACAGTATAATAGATCAATTCTATATATATATATATATATATATATATTTTATATAAGATTAACATGAAAAGCATGATCAAGTAAATGAATGATACTTTTATTTTTTTTAATGTACTTATGTTTTCTTTCTCTGTTTAAATATGTGTCATTATACACACATCAATTATTTTTATTATAGAGAATTATTTTTATTATAGAGAATGGAAATGAAATGAAACGTGCAATGAGTTCTGGATAACACGTTTATGTGAGTGGAGTTTTTTTAATTAACCAATCAAAATAGCAGATTTCTTCTTGTCCATTTATAATTTTAACCTTAAAAAAAAAGGATAACAGGCCCAGGCTGCCTGACAGGTCTAACAGGCTTACTATCAAGTTTGAGCCTAACCTGATAAAGTAAACAGGTCTTTTTACAGGCTTGAGCTTGTTCTAATATCTAAATAGGTTAGGCCAGGCCAGGCCACAGGCCGCTAGCCTATTTCCACAAGCCGCTGGCCTATTTTCACCCGTATTTGTATATATAGTTATATAAAGAGATGATTAATTACATCTAGCTAGCATTCTAAGAAAAAAAGTGAAATGGCTACCTAGCTACCAAGCTACTCCTCCGGTCCCAAATATGATCAGTACAATAATATATATATATATATAAACAATAATAGTTGCATAAGTATTTGTGTATAAGGGTCTTATATTTAGGATCGGAAGAGTAATTCACATCACTGATCAGTTGGTCAGTTCATTTTTATTTTTACAAAAAAAGTCGTAAATTCTATCACTAGTTCATTATTTTTTTTAGTGATCTGGATATTTGTTTAGAATAAGTGAAGGCAATTAATCTTCTAGTATGGGGATACCTTGGTTTCAGATATTAGTCTTATTTATTACTCCCTCTGTTTCTTATTATAAGAGACATTTGATGCTCATGGCATGTTCCAATATATAAAAGACACTTAAAAATTGTCTATATTTTTTTGTATTGATTTTCTATTTTACCCCTATTTATTTTGTCTCTAACTCATACTCTCTCTTCCTCCTACTTCTCTTTCTTTTAATAATTTAATTGTTCTCTCTCATACTCTCTCCTTATTAATGGGGGCATTGTTGGAAAAAATATTATACTTTTTGCATATTAATTGTCCTCAACTAAATTTAACTGTTTTTTTTATCAACGTAATTTGGTTATTTGTCTATTATAATAAAGAACGGAGAGAGTATATCACTGGAATTTAAAATTTTTTTATGAATGTACAATATTATGGTTCATTTATTAGTGTGTAAACTGTTAGTATCTTCTAAAAAATGTGTATATATATTAAATAGAAATAAAATTAGAAAGTAATTGAATCTTTTTTTTTTTTATCTGCTGGCTAACAATCAACGAACATTGATATATGCTTATGATGGTGGTACGGTGAAAATTGTGTGCTCAAGATTGTTCAAGAGATTGTTTTTTTTAATCAAACTAATTAATTACGTACTTATCTAATCTTATTTATAAGTCATCACTTTTAACATATTTCACATAGATAAAAAAACCTTAAACCTCATTAATTATTTTATTTTAAAACTGAAATTTTTTTCAATTTTATTCATATTTAATAGATAAAGAGTAAAATAATATATTCATATTAAAAAATTAATAACATGACTTATAAATAGAACTTAAAACATTTTTTCTCTACTTATAAGTAGGACCAAAAGATTAATTATACTATGAGTCTGGATCCGACCCGTGTCGCGCACCTGGTTGTGGTGGATGAGTCTCCCAATGGGGATTTCTGCATATGCTGAGGCTCGAACTCGAGACCTCGCTTAAGCGGTACCAAGCCACTTATCACTTGGACCAACTTCTATTGGTTGTTCTTCGCATTTAATCACAAGGCAAGATCACATTTTTGTGTGTGGACTGCCTTCACCTCTCGGCCCAACTAATAATCACATGCCAAAGTAGTTAGGTTTCAGTTCAAATAAAAATTGAGTTTAGGAGAAAAGACTAATCTCTTATAATGTGACAAATTAATATTTAAATTCTTGTCGGAAAAAGTACTCATGTTCAATGAAAAAAAGTTTCAGCTCAAAACATTAAATTCATTTGAATTGCGGCTCCCTTTATTATCTTGAAATAATATTCTTCAAGTAAGGTTTTGCATACAGGGTTTTGCATGCATATTAGAAAAGTATATTGATAGACTAAATTATGATAAATTATTTAAGAAAAATCAGTGAAGGGTGTCTTTTTTAAAATTTTACTGATTAGAAGGATGTGAATTTAGATATTATATACTTCCTATGTAAGAAATTCGGCAGTATAAACTCACACTTTTTGTGGATTAAAATATATCAGAACTAACCAATAAAATTTTCAAATAAAAATTTTTCACTGATTTTCTTTAAATTATTTAATAGCACTTGATTAAAATATTCCTCATTTTTGTTTAATTGTTGGCACAAACATTTGCTCTGCCTACCAGCGTATTCTTATAATTAAGTGGTTGACTATTAATTAGTGATGATTACTGATTATAATATTGGGGTCCTAATTGTAACTTTTGCAAATGGTAATCAAAACATTATCTAATGAATAGATCGTAATTCTATAATTTAATCAAAGAATCACTCAGATGAGTTTCAAGTGGTGGAGCCAACTCACCCAATAAATTGACAAACTAGTTGTCGGTTTGACCCAACCAAAAGGAATGATATTTTATTATGAGAATTGATCATACACCTTCCGATTTTATATATAAGAA